TAGAATCAACCAAGTAAACTGGATTTTATGACCTCATTTCCTAACCTCAGGTAGGGAGGAATAGTGTCTGGGGCTCTCCAGTCTCTAATCCATCACACATTTTAAGAACAGCTTTATTTAGTTGAGGGTTTTATAGGGCAAATGGAGAACAATATGTATGACTTCCCAATTCTATGATGACAAGGGAGGGGTGGGGACAGAGTGGAGTGCCTTTCTCTTTCATGCCTCTATTTATTTGTTCTGATATGCAGTGGTTAATGTCGGTAGCACGGTGTCCTGGTTTGAGTGAGAATGGCCTTTCCATAGGCTCAAATGTATTAATGCTTGGTCCACAGTTGGTGGAACTGTTTGGGAAGGATTAGGAGGTATGGCCTTGTTGGCCTTGTTGAGGGAGGTACCTCATGCAGGGAGATCAAGATGTGAACTCTCTGCTAGTGCTCCAGTTCCATGCCTGCAGGGGCTGCTGTCATGCTTCCTGTCATGATGGTCATGGAATCTAGCTCTCAGGAACTGTGATTCCCAAATTAAATACTTTCTTTTATAAGCTGTCTTGGTCATAGTGCCTTATCATGCAATAGAAAAGTAAGATATGTGGTGATGAACTGAGAAAGCACTATTGTTGTGTCCATGGAATTAATAGCTTCTGGTGAGTTTTATGAGGTGTCACAGTTGTATTTTGCAGTTACCTGTTGCTACATAACAAAGCACCCCAAAACTGAGTTATACTAATTAGTATGTATTTATGCTCTCAGTTTTGTGAGCCATGGATTGGGATAGGAGACAGAGACATAGCTCAGTTCTGCTCTCTAAGGACAGGACTGCATTTAGGGTGACTTGGATGGGGTAGGTAGATGAGACCTTGCAGATGGAATATCCATATGATTCCTCATGAACATGAATATGGATTCCTCACCCCTTCTCTGTTGTATCTTCTGTCACTGAAGTTCTTATTTTTCTGTCTTTATTTGTATGTGTGTCTGTATGCCGTATGTGTGTGCCTATTTATAGAGGCCAGAAGAGGGCATCAGATCCCCTGGCACTGGAGTTACAGACAGTTTTGAACTGCCAGACGTGGAAGCTGGAAACTAAACTCAGAGTCTTGGCAAAATCAACAAGTTCTCTTAACCACTGAGTTATTTCTCTCGCCCTGCCCGATAGTTTTCCACCCACCTGTCTGGCACCTGGGATGAATGGATAGGTGATGACTAGATGGGTAAGTCAGTGGGTAGATGGGTGAGTGGGTGGATGAATAGGTGGGTAGGTGGATAGGTGGATGGATGCATGGATAGAAGGAAGGATGGGTGGGTGGTGGACGGATAGGTGGGCAGGTGGATAGGTGGATGGATGGGTGGATGAGTAGGTAGATGGATGGATAGGTGAATGGTGGATGGATAGGTGGGTGGGTGCATATATGGATAAATGGATGGGTAGATGGGTAGGTGAATGGGTGAGATGAATAGATGAATAGATAGATAGTTGAATGGGTGGATGGATAGATGGGTGGATGGACAGACAGTTTCAGCTGCCTATATATCTCCCCCTCTCTCCTTGCAATCTGTACATGTGGGTTTCTTGGAGAAATACAGTCTCTGATTGCTCAAGTGTCATGTTAGTTGTGTGTTGCTGTGACAAAACACCTGAGAATGAGGTGGGAGTGACTTACGTTGTCTCACAGCTGCCGAGCATAGCACATCATGGCGGGGAAGCCGCAGCAGCAAGGACTTGAGCTGGATGGTCCCACTGCATCTACAGCCAGGAAGCAGAGTGGCGAACACCGCTGCTCAACTCGGTTCTTCCCCGTTTTACATTATCTAGGACCCCGTTCATGGAATGGTTCCACCCACATTCAGGGTCTTCCCACCTCAATGAACCCAATCTAGAAATTCCCTCACAGGCATGCCCAGGGGTATCCTAGATTATTCTAGATCCTAGCAACTTAACAATCAATATTGATGACAAGTATCTTACATGGCAGCTATCTTCACACAGAGTGAACATGCCCAGAGATTCCAGACCTTTTATGAGCTAGACATAGGAATCATGGAGAAACTGTTCTGTTACTGGGGCCAGCTAGACTCATAGGGAGTGTGAGCCTCCACTTCTTAACAGAAGGAATTGTAACATATATAAATATAATATATAAATATAATATGTATATGAAAATAGATAAAAGAATATATGCATATATTACAACACACTTGCTTTAAGATTTTTTTAACTATATTTATATTGTGTAGGGTAGAGAGTTGTACATGTCAGCTACATGCAAATAACCATTTCAAGGACTACAGACCTCCCCCACTGTCTCTGCAACACAGCTGTGTAGAAAGCCACTGGGCTTCCTAGCTGTTTATAGTGAGAGGATGATCTGTGTCCAGCCTTTGGCTGGAAGCACAGTCTCCCAAGCCCTGCCACTGTGTGTTGGAGATGGCTGATGATTTCAAGGGCCCTGGATGATTTCAGAATCATGTTCATGCGGTAGCTTTACTGAGAATGCCCAGGAGTTGTTCTTTGATGGTTTAATAAGTGTAGGTTTATCTGAAAAATTACGAACTATTCTATAAGGAAAGGAATTTGAATTTAAGGAAAGGTAAAGGAATTAGTTCAGCAATGTTTATTGAACTCTGATAGTCCATGTGTTGGAGACAGAGCAGAAAACAGATGAAAAACTACCTCTAGGGACTGGGGAGGTGGTTTGATTAATGTGTTTGCCAGGCAAGGATGAGGGCCTGAGTTTAGATCCTCAGCACCCACATACCAGACACGGTGGCATGTGCCTGTAATTGTGGCACCAAGAAAGCGGATCCAGGGAGGACCATGGAGCCAGCTGGCCAGCCAGTCTCATTGTAATGACGAGCTCTGGGTTCTGTGGGAGATCCTGTCTCAAAGTGGAAAACATGGAGAAACTTAGGACAGTATCTAATACCAACCTCCGGCGTACATACTCACACACTCACATACACACACACACACACACACACACACACACACACACACACACATGCATGCACACACATTCACACATGCAGAGACTCACACTCAAACACTCACACACTCACACACACTCATATTCACACATGCACACACATTAAATTCATACTCGTACCCATACACACATGGATACATGTAAACTCATACACACTCACACTCACCTCTGCTCCTATGAAGTGCACAGGAGAGAGAGAGAGAGAGAGAGAGAGAGAGAGAGAGAGAGAGAGAGAGAGAGAGAGCGCTGTAATACTAAAGGAGTCAAGTCCCAAACTGTAACATGTCAGATGGTAAGTGGTGTGGAAATGACAGAGAAATTACAGTTCTTCCTCCAGCCTGCCCGTGGCACTGATTGGGAAACACGGCCACTGCCCTTCATACACTTCAATGGCAGAGCCGTCTGCTTAGGGAGAGAATAGCCACCTGCATTACCACAGGTGTAACTCTAGCGGAGGGCCGCACCCTAGCGCCCTGTTGATCTCTGGTTTATGAATTCTGACCAAAAAGTCACATCTATGGTACGCAGCTAACTCTATCCTCTTATGCTTCCCCAGGACAACTGGGTGCTCCATGAAGTGGGTTCCACATCTGGTTTTGCTGGCAAACGTGTCCTCAAGAACTCTACAGAGTTTGGGATAAATATTTAGATGGTGGTCACCAGACACATCCTAGCTGTTAAACTGTTGAAGAAATCCAGGTTCCCAGCATTTACCTGGTTGGTCCCTGGTGTGCATGCTTGCTTTCCACTGGAAAATGATGGATCAGTTTCTCACTGAAAGTTACCAGTTGTGGGACCAGGGAGATGGCTCAATCAGGAAACTGTTTGTTTTGCAAGTATGAGGACCTAGGATTAATCCCCCAAATGCCCGCGTCTTAGATTCATTATTTCTGTGGCTGTGGTGAAATACCTTATCAGAAAGCAACTTAAAGGAGAGCGGGGTTGATTCCAGCTTGCAATTCCAGGCTACAGTCCACCATTGTAGGGAAACCAAGGCAAGAACTTCAAATAGCTAGTCATATCATAGTGACACCCGTAGTCGAGAGCAGAGAGAAACAAACACATGTGCATTCACTGCTTGTAACTCTCACACAGTTCAGGACTTCCTGCCTAGGGAAGGGTTACACCCATGGTGAGGTGGGTCTTCTCACATCAATTAACTGAAGACAATCTCTCATAGACCAACCCAAGGCAGGCAGTCCCTCATTGAGACTCTCTTCCCAGGTGTCAAGTTGACGATTAAAGCTGATAATCACACCAAATTAAAAACTAAAACTAAAATTGGGTTTGGTGGTGTGCACTTGTAATCCCAGCACTGAGTAGTTGGAGATACTCTCTGAGATGTATGTGCATGCGTACTCATGCATGCAAGCGCGTATACACATACACACACACACACACACACACACACACACACACACACACACACAGAGAGAGAGAGAGAGAGAGAGAGAGAGAGAGAGAGAGAGAGAGAGTTAACAGTACCATTTTGTAGCAGGAATCTTGGAGAGTCTTATTAATAAAATCAAACTCGGGGCCAGTTATTGGGGTGAAATGATGGATGGTCAGAGAGACAGAACAAGCCACAGCTAACCTCACCTGGCCAACTTGTCAGCTGGTCTTATTTCCTCAGACTGGAAGCCTCTGAGTCCTCATATCCAAATGACAGCTGAACTGTGCTGCTAGAAGCCTGAAAGCTTAACCAGCCAAATGCTTCTAGTTTCTGGTCCTCACGCCTTATATACCTTTCTGCTTTCTACCACCACTCCCTGGGATTAAAGGCGTGTGTCACCATGCCTGGCCGTTTCCAATGTGGCCTTGAACTCACAGAGATCCAGAGGGATTTCTACCTCTGGAGTGCTAGGATTAAAGGTGTGAGTGCCACCATTTTCTAGCCTTTGTATCTAGTAGCTGTTCTGTCTCTGACCCCAGATAAGTTTATTAGGGTGCACAATATTTTGGGGAACACAATACCACCACACCATTTTACTTTTCCTTCTTTGTCTTTTCACAGCTGTGCAGTCACTGCACACCCTAAATGACCAGATTTCCCACTTCATTGTCGCCAAGTCGAAGGCACTGGAGGAAGACGATGACCCCTTTCTACCCACGGAGAAAGAGACGCTGAAGAACTCTATGATATTGATGAGACACCTCTTAATGGATGCCCAGGTACAAAGATCAGTGGTGGGTGGTCCAGGGCTGTCCAGGATTTTGTCTTTATGACATGAGAGCATCATTTAAATAGTTCACACTCAAGAATTGCACAGCTTAATTACCAAAAACAACAATGAAAATATTACAAAAATTCTTATCATGTTTTATGCAATCTTAGGATTTTATGTTGGGTCTCATTCATTGCTATTGTTGGCCACAGGTTGGACAATGCCTTTAATGGATTTGGGGATTATCTTTGGGGTTTCTTTAAATGTTTTATTTGGGGGATAAGATATCCAAGGATGTTTAACTACCAAACCAACCACCAGTCACTTTTACCATAAACAACCATAAGAGGCACTCTGATACAGTGAGGACTGGGCTTTTCAGTAGATTTTACTATGCTTTTAAGTTAGAGTAATGAAGCTTAAAGATAATGTATGTGCTGCCTTTGAGAATGGAGCGCGTCTCCTCTCAGTCTTGGGAAAGAGAAAGAATGCATTTACATACAAACTTGGCAGGCATTGAAGCTGGCAAGGGTGTTGGTGTGGAGCAAAACTTGATCCAAAACTGTATTTCTGAGTAGCTGATAAATATTTAGGGGTGTCCGATGTGCTCTCTAGTAAATGAATCAGCATTTGAAGATACTAGCAGCGAATATGCTGCAGGGGAATTGCCCATTTCACACTATTGTTGGGATGTTGTTTCTCAAGGTTTCTCCTCATATGCTGTTTTATTGAAATATTTAAAAGTAATCTTTCTCCTCCTTCTGTCTTTGTTAGTGGGTCTCTCCAGATATGTTGATGGGCAAACACCAGGTGTTTTAGGAGCCGGATGGTATTTTTCTTTGGTTAAAGCAAACTGCTCTAGAATTTATTGTCATTTCTGCCTCTTGGGGATCTGGAAGTATTTTTAGGAAATCATCTTTGTTTTTTTTGGGGGGGGGGGCGGTTCTTGTGTGACTTGTCTCCAAAACTTTCTTCTGAAGCTTTCCTTCCGTTGAACAAGTGAGGTCAATATGGCTGTTCTCTGCCTTCTGCTCTGAGTGGCAGAGTTTTGAACCATGGTCTCTCCACTTTTGTTTCTATCGGAGTGATGCTTCGTGTTTTATTTTCTATGATCAATCTGGAAATCTGGGTTTCATCTCACCAAGACAATAGCTGATGGGGCCTGTCTACATGCCTCACCTGTCAGTGTTTGAAGCTGCCCCATGGGATCCCAGCCCTTCTGTCAAGGTGCCCCAAATTATGCAAAGCCTTTCATTCAAATTCTTATTCTTCCAGTCCCTCTTTTGAGTAAGCAGCCATTCAGCCTCCCCTTCCTTCCCAAGCCTGTCTGGGGGAGAAAAGAAGGCTTCTAAAGCTGCAAGAGCCAATTTTAAGGCTTGGAAAAAAGGGGAAATTTAGAGCAATTTACTGAATAAAGAAAGCAAATTGTTCCTGAAAGCGTAGCTTTGCTCAATGCCTGGACCCAGTCCGATAGCTGACATCGCAGCCCAGGGAACTGTGTAAATGAATCCCCAAGGAGAGTGTGTATGTTCTAGTTTGCAAAATCCCAGAGAATAAAAGCCTCTTCATTTCTTTTTCTCATTTGAATTTGCTAATGCAGAGTGCTGAACTTTTCAAAACCTTAAACATCAGAGGGAACATAGGCCCCATGTTTGAGGGGCATGGAGAAGTGAGTCCACAGCCCAGTCGGGTAAATAGAGTTCATAACAACTTAGTACATTTATTATTATTATTTTGGTGTTTTGAGGAAGGATCTCACTAGGTAGCCCAGGCTGGCCCCGAACTCACAGCAGTCCTCCTAGGTTCCAGGCATACAGTACCACACCTGGTGACTTCATTGCCAATTTTATTAAGAACTGGAAGAGAGAAGATTGAAATGCCCCAGCACAATGACCTGCTTAAGAAGCTGGGAATACTAATTACCCAAGTTTGGGCCATACACATTGTATAACCTTGTGAATTACCACCGTGTACCCCAGAAATATGTACCATTACTATATGTCAATCCAAAACATCTTACATAGCTTAAGATTATTTCTCATCAAAAGTTAAACTGGCATCTTGAATCCTCCTTGGCATTGGTAGCCTACCTCCCTCCCTCCCTCCCTCCCTCCCTCCCTCCCTCCCTCCCTCCCTCCCTTCCTTCCTTCCTCCCTCTCTCCCTCCCTCCATCCCTCCTTCCCTCCCTCTCCCTCTCTCTCTCTCTCTCTCTCTCTCTCTCTCTCTCTCTCTTTCTTTCCTATTTTCTTCTTTTCCATTAGGAGTTAAAGTATCCCATCTGACAAGGTTCCTGAATATTTTATTTTCTTGTTTTCTTCTGTTCCTGAATTGACACAAATAGAATGTTCTCATTTTGACAAATAAAATAAAGTTTTATGGCTCTTCCTCTCCAGTCCTACACTCTACAATCACGGTGGATTGGGTCCATATCTCCAGGAAAATTGTCACAGGAAGCTGGTCAGGTATTGTCATGAGGTATCTAGGCACACTCTGTGTCAGGCCTCTTTCTGTTCAAAAACTGGCGAAAATCTTGTCATTTAGGTTTATAAAGGATGAAGTGGCTTGTACTTAGTTTAGTTTCAAGATGTCAGCCTTGTAGCTTTACTTCCAAACAAACACACTTAAATTTCTGAAAGTTTTGCTGAAATCAAATAGAATTGTGATGTCCCAGCCCCTTGGGTTGCACAGAATCTCTGAGTGATTCTCTCTCAGCTTAACCACCAATTTTATATGACTCTGAGGAAATGGCATTTTGTGGATGACTGGGGATAGGTGGTTTATTTATTTATTTAAAGATTTTTTTTTTATACATTTTTTTTTATTAATTTATTTTGCAATACAATTCAGTTCTACATATCAGCCACGGATTCCCTTGTTCATTTGTAATTATATGTATGTGTGTCTTTTTGTAGGTATGTGCACATAAGCGCACTGCCTGTAGTGCCATAAGGGGGCATCAGATCCTCTAGAACTGGAGTTACAGGCAGTTGTGAGCCTCATGACGTAGATTCTGGGAACTGAATTTGAATCCTCTGCCAGAGCAGCAAGTATTCTTAAGCACTGAGCTCTCCAGCTCCAAAATGTAGTTTTGAGTTTTGTAGTAGGCATCCAGAAATACATTCTTTTCTTGTAGTAGGCATCCAGAAATATATGTTTTTTAGTGAGAATCTTTACTGAACACCCCATTTACTCTTGTGAAATTCAGTTATTTTCCAACTATTTTTACACATTGCTTCGTATCTTTCTTCCAAAGACAGATGGATATACTTATTTATTATTCTAAGCTCAATAGTGGATTATCAATAGAATGTTAATGTAGCTTGCATGCACATCCTTCTTTTGGCTCTGCATTTTATGATATCAATGGATCAGTCTGTAGTTTTGCATTTTGTGGGACAAAAGCAGAGAATGAACCACACGCCTTGACTTGGTGGGCTTCCTAAGTGTCTTAGTTCAGTACACACAGGGCTCTTAATAGTATTCGATTATGATGAAATTCTCTGACATCAGCCACACATTGTATGAAGCCAGGAAAAAGAAACAAAAGTCTCGCAGAGAGCCCAAAGGCTGCTTGGAGAGTGCATGCTTACAAGGCATAATCGATTCAAGTCACATCTGTTTTGGAGGCAATAAATCCTGCTTAGGAGAATGTCAAAGGCAAACGCACTGCTGTGCTATGAAATCCCACCTCTGAGGATTATAAAACAGTATGCATGGAGAAGACACATCCCCCAGTATAATGGGGGTGCCAGTGATGATTGGCAGGCCTGCTTTACAGAATGCAGCATCTCATGGGAATAAAGGGATAGGGACAGGGTATCCCAAGAGGCCATGGTGATGCATTCATTCCATAACTGTTTCTTTGCATGGTGGTGGTGGATCTCTGAAAGAACCAAAGAACTTAAGAGCCTCTATTTGCATTGCATGCCATCTTCAGTCTGCAGGCTCCGTGCCCCTCCACTCCCAGTTCAATGAAGTACCCTATTCAGATGGCATTTGAAACCTAATCTGGTGGTTTTTATTCCTGAGAGCTTCCTCTAAACCCAAAATGCCAAGCCAGTCTCGTAAGTGATTAGATTCATAACAGCAAAAAGGCAATTCTTTCTGGGAGAGATTAATTCTTTTCCCCACACTGTGTAACTCTGCATGCTAGGAGGGGTCGATTACAGCAAATTAAATTTTCTAACATCAGCTCTGCCCCCCTCCCACCAAAGGCTTTGGGTCATTGTTTATTAAAGGAGAAGCCATGCTTGGAGAAACAGGAAGATGGCCGGGTTCAAAGTAAGGTCTTACTGTTGGAGGTTGAGTTCTAAAGACTGACAGATGTGCGTGCACATGGAAGGCTCCTTCTTCTGGTCAGGGGGTAGAGCCTGGCTAAGGGAAGTTCCATTGCCCAAGCAGTGGTTCCATTGCCCAAACAATGGTCTCCCTGCTTAAAACTTAGAGGACTCATTTTAAGAGAGGATGCACCATAGGGCTATCCCTTCCTATAGGTCCACATGTAGGGACAAAGCAAGGAAACCTTTCAAAATAAAAGCAAACCACATGCCTGGCACCTGCAAGTATGTCTGTGTTTGACCTATCTTGGTTACTTCTCTGTTACTGTGATAAAAATAATAATAATAACCTGAAAAAAGCAAGCTAAGAGAGAAAGAGTTTATCTTGGCTCATAGTGCCTGAAGGATACAGTAATCCATCACAGTGGGGAGGCAGGCAACAGGACACAAGGTTGGCAGTCATGTCACATGTCACATCTATAGTACTAAAGCAGAGGGATAGCAGGAAGTGAAGGGCAGGCTTTACAACCTCGAGGAGGCTTGTCCCCTGAGAACTACTTCCTCCAGTGAGGCTCCACCTCCTAAAGGTTCCGCAACCTTCCCAAACAGCGCCATCAGCTGGGGACCAAGTATTCAGATACATGAACCTGTGGTGGCAGTGGGGGTGGGGGGCATTTCGCTTCAAGCCACACTAAAAGTCAGATACCTGGTGGGAAAACGGTAAAATGGT